AAAATTTATGGGATGCAGCCAAAATAATACTTACGGGAAATTTTATATCTCTAAATGCTTACATTAACAAAAGAGAAAAAGAGTAGATCAATGAATTCATTCCTATTAAAAACAGTAGAAACATAGGAATAAATGGAAATCTCACTAAAATCATAACTGGTTCCTATCTAAAATCATCAGTAAGCATTATCTATAATAGGGATAAGCTAGAAGCCCTCCCAGTAAGATCAGGGGTGAAGCAAGGATACCCATTAACGCCATTATTCCATATCATACCAGATATGCTAGCTACAGCAATAAAAAAAGAAAAAAGGAATTGAAGGAATTAAAATTGGCAATGAAGAAATAAAACTACCATTCTTTGCAGATGAAATGATGGTGTACTTGGAGAATTCTAGAGAATCAACTAAAAACCAGTGAAACAATTATCAACTTCAGCAAAGTTGTAGTCTATAAAATAAACCCATATCAGCATTTCTATATATTGCCAACAAAGTCCAGGAGCAAGAGGTAGAAAAATAAATTCCACTTAAAATAACTGCAGACTAAATAAAATACTTAGGAGCTAAAGGACCTTACACGAAAATATTTATAACAGCTTTTTTGTGGTGGGAAAGAATTGGAAACTGATGAGATGCCCATCAATTGGGGAATGGCTGAACAAGCTATAGTATATGGTTGTGATAGAATGCTATTGTGCTATTGTTATTGTTGTTTGTCCTTCATTCTCAAAGAGGACCAATGGCATCAGGAGGGTGATGTCTTGATTTGCAAATGAATTGGATTTAAATGAGGCAGAGCTGTGCAAAGTCATCAGCCTCACTCTGTCCTCCAGAGTCACCTATGTCTAGTGGCAAAATAAAAGTCAAGATTACTGGCTATGGCCCCATTGTGCTATAAGAAATGAGCAGGATGCTTTCAGGAAAAAAAAAAAGAAAACTAGAAAGATTTACATGAACTGATGCAAAGTGAAGGGAGCAGATCCAGGAAAACATTATACACAATTACAGCAACATTGTAGGATGATCAACTATGAATGACTTGGCTGTTCTCAACAATACAAAGATCCAAGATAATTCTGAAGCGTTTATGATACAAAATGCTATCTATCTCCAAGGGGAAAAAAAAACTGATGGAATCTGAATGCAGATTGAAGCTTACTCTCTTTTATTTTCTTTGTGTGTGTGTGTATGTGTGTGTGTGTGCACGCGCACGCGTGCATGTGTAGTTTTTGTGTTTCTTTCACAATGTAAAGAATATGGAAATATGTTTTGCATGACTACACATGTGTAACATCAAATTTTTTGCTGTCCCAGGGAAGGAAGGAGGGAATTTGGAACTCAAAATTAAAAAAAAACTAATGTTAAAATTGTTTTTACATGTAATTGGAAAATAAAATATAAAAAAGAATGATTGGTTTCATACCCTTTGACCATTTGTCTATTGCAATGTAACTATTAGTCATTCATAGATGAAAGAGCAGGGGAGCTAGGTGTTTGATATGCATACATATGTATGTATGTATATAAAACATTTTCTGTATATTAGTTTTGTTGAACTTTTCTGTTTATTTTAAAGGATAATTCACTAGGAGGGTTTTGGGAGAAGGGATACAGTGGGAACTCACTCCAATGGAAAATAAAGATATAAATGTTTTGTTTTTTAATCCAAGCAGTATAGTCTTATTCTTTATCACACATGACCCAGGGATGGGTTTAACCTTCTCAGTCTCTCAGGCTTACAACTTGGATGTCATCCTTGGCTTCTCACTATTTTTCACCTCCTATGTCCAATCTTTCCCAAGGCCAGTCAATTTTACCTTTGCAACATTGCTGCAAAATACCTTCTTTTCTCCTATACTGCCACAACCCTGGTTCAGCCTCTCAACTCCTCATTCCTGAACTATTTTGGTATCCTGTAGTGGGTCTGCCTGCTACAATTCTCTCCACACTCCAGTTCATCTTCTACTCAGCCACCAAAGTAATTTTTCCTAAAGCACAGGTCTGACCATACCAGTCTCCTACTAAATAAACTCTAGTGGCTCTCTGTCACATCCAGGATCAATTATAAAACATTCTGACATTGAAAGCTTTCCAAAACTAATGCCACCAACAGCGACTTTCCTTGTCTTCTTACACCTTATACCCCTACCTACATACTCTGTGATCCAGTGACACTGGACTCCTTGCTGTTCCTTCCACAAAATATTCCATCTCTCAGCTCTGGCCATTTTCACTGATGGTCCTTCATGCCTAGAATGCTTTCTCCCACCTCATATCCATCTCCTGACTTTCTGTAAGTCCCTACCAAATTCTTACCTTCTATAGGAAGTCTTTCTTGACCTCTTTTAATTTTAGCATTTTCCCTCTTTTGATCATTTCCTATTTATCCTGTCTAGAACTTTGTGTATCCCCCAATAAATTATGAGCTTCTTGAGGGCAAGGATTTGTTTTTTTCCTTTCCTTCTATACCCTGTGTTTAGCACACTGCCTGGCAGATGGCAGGCTCTTAATGAATGCTTATTGACTAACTGACTAATGTGGTTTTAGTATCTACAACCATGAGACTTCTTTTGAGTCCCTAGTGAAAATGCACTAGTATCCAATACTCTGGAAATGCCTTTCCTATAATAACTTTTACATTCTTCTTGGAGAATCAAAGTCTGTTTATAATATTCTACCACCAAACCATCACTGAAGCTACCACTGTACCTTCTTACTGTTACAGAAAAATGACTCAGGCTCTTTCCCTACTCCCCTCTCTAAGCAAATAAAGGGCACCTGAAAAGCATTTTTAAGGGATTTATTGTTATTATCACTATTATTATTAATAGCTAGCATTTTATATAGGACCTACTATATGTCAGACACTGAGCTAAGCACTTCACGAATATTCTCACATTATCTCGTATCTCACTTCCATTCATTTTTCCTTATAAAAGAAAATCCAGCTCCAAAGGTTTCTTTGTGAGAATGTTTCCCTCTGTGTATGCACTGAGATGTTATTACTGATGCTATTTTGTATGTGTGTGGATTTTTTTTGAGAGATGTTAGTGGTTCAACAGTTGCTGACAAACACTGTCATGAATTAAGCATGGGGTGGTGCCTTGTCCTCTAGTCTACCTTTGTGATATACTTTAGTCTACCCTACTTATTTACAAAATCTCTTTGGAAGAAAAGAGCCCAGAGCAAGAGAGGAAGAGACAAGCTTTGGTGGTTGCTTCATAACGACTTATTACTCTCACAACAAGGGGTGTGGGCACCTCCTCGGACAGAGTAATTTCGCCAAGCAAGCTCAACTCTTAGGGAAGTGCCATCATTCCATCATGAATTATTGATCAACTCACTGTGCAGGAAAAACAACAGATGTGATAAACAATGCAAACAATGCGACAAAGAGGGAGTTTATAGTTTATTATTTTACTGCCTATTATTTCCCCATTTGTGAAGACGCCAAAAGCTCAGTTGCCCAATCTCCTCTTCGGGGTATAAACACTGTGACAGGCAAAAAATAATTTAACAATTTAACCCTGACTATATATCTCTGAAATGGCCCCTTTGGATTCTGCAGAAAATCAGAGTTTCCAAAAGAATACACAGACCCGGTTCTCTAATGGAAATAATCCCCAGTGTTCTACACTGGTCAACCTCATCTGCACTATTATATTCATTTCTGTTCACTGTGCTTTAAAGGGAGCTTTAGAGAGTTACCAAGGGTCCAGATTAGGGCAATCAGAATGGAGAGTGAGCTCCAAGACATATCACTGGAGAAACAGTTGAAGGAAGTAGCAAAGGAAAGAATTAGGGGAGGGAGAGTGAATGGTGGGGGGAGGATTCATGATAACTGTTTTTAAATATTTCAGTTATCATGTTTGCAGATTTTACTATCAAAACAAAGAGGGTACAGTTTGATTTTGTGTATCCTAACAAGTCTTTGGTTTCACCAGGTATAAATACCCTCCTACTCACATGCCTATATACTTATTTTGGTTTTTTGTTTATTCCCAGGAAGAGCCAAAATGGTTTATCTCTTCTCCTGCATCCTTGCTAGAAAATGTTTCAGCAAATTAAGTCTCATTTTGACTCTTGGAACATCTAAGCTTGTTTCTCCCTGGCTCCCTAATAGCCAGATACAAAAGAGTAACTATCCAACCAGGTTATTCAGTGCAGCTCAAAGCACACTGGGATGGCAACCTTGGCTTCTATTTAAGAGACAGCTAATGGCTAGGAAGATTTGAGTTCAAATCCTGCCTCAGAAACTCACTAGCTATGTGATCCTGGGTAACATAATAACATATACATTGGCTTTCATGTTTTGAAATCAAGCTCTCCTTTGAGTTAAAGAATATGTTAATAATTCATCATCTTGCCTGGAGAGGACGGATTATCTTCCACTCTTCATTGGACACCATTATCCAGCTCATCACTATGAGTAAGATACCCTTGCCACTATTCTTTAGACCGGAGCGTTTCACACCATAAAACCATTTTCTGTGATTGCCTCAGGTGTGCAGATCCTGGGAGAGACCATCTAGCTACTTAGCCTTGAGGAGGAAGAGCATCTCCTTCCCAAGTGCACTCTCCATTACTGAGTTCTTACTCTGATTTCTTAGGCAAGAGCAATGACAAGGGAATTGTTGCCCCCACCTAGGTGGCTACCAGATTGTTCTGACCAAAACAACACTTTCATGATGTCACTCTCCCATTCAAAGACCTTCAATGATTTCTTGTTAATTAGAAGACAATATCCTCCACAATCTGACAACAAACTACCTTTTCGATATTAACTGCAACTCCTCCCTTCAATATTATTTCCATTCTAGTCAGATTGTTCTACTCACAGACATCCCAGCTTTTGCTTTCCCATTTTATTGACTATAATGTCTCCTCCTCTATCACCTCCATTTCTGCCTACTGACATCTTATCCATAGTATTTAGAGGTGACAAGCACTTCAGGAGTTCTCTCTCTCAATTTTCAGATAAAGAAAATGAGGCCAAGGTTGCTTTGGCAGCACATATACTCAAATCGGAACGATACAGAAAAGATTAACATGGCCCCTGGGCAAGGATGACATGAAAATCTGTGAAGTATTCCATATTAAAAAAAAAAAAAAAAACAAGACCCAGAAAGAAAGGACTTGCCTGTGTTTACACAGCTGCTAAGTGGCATAATGAAAATTTTGACCTGTGTCCTCTGACCCAAAATACAGTGTTGTTGTTGTTGTTGTTGTTGTTGTTGTTGTTGTTGTTGTTTTTAAGTATACAATGCTATTCTCTCTAGCAAGGTTCAGTTCAGGATTTCACCTGTTCTGTGAAGGTTTTCATATCTGCCCCGGCTGGAAGCGATTGCTCCTTCCTCTGAACTCTGAGATCATCTAAAATCTTCAGCATTCCTCTGAAATATGACATGAGCTGCCTTTTGTAAATACATATATGTATATGCAGGCATATTTATATATCTGTGTTTATATGTATATATGCATAGACATATGTGTATATATACACATACATGTATGTATGGTACAGAAATTTCTTGAGGGCAAAGGACTGAGTCGTAGAATTCTTTGCAACCTAAAGAGTACCCAGAAGGGTCCTTTACATACATAGTAGTTACTCAAAAAATGTTTGCTGATTGATCTCCAGTAATAGAAATGGATACACTCTCATCCTCTAGAGAAATGAATGCAAAAGCAGGCACAGACCACAGGAGTGCCAGGAGCACCGTTGGCAGGAGACACAGAATTAGAGCTGGCAAGATGATTAGCAAAGCACACTTCTTCACTTTACAAGATGTGTGTGCATCCTGATTGTAATAAGTGAGCTTGGAAGCCTAGACAGACTCTTTAATCTTGGGAATGACACTGTGAACTCCAGTTCACCTGCTAGATTTATTTACATTGCTTTTGCCCGCTAACAAATCCAACTCTCTATCAGATTAATCAACATTTATCAGCCAGTGGCTGGAGCATCATTTCATAAAGTAAGTAAAATAGAGCGGGAGTGAAATGGAATGGAGAGAGAATAAAACTCCCATTACTCTCTGGCTATTTTATTCTCTATGTATTTTACTCACATAATGAGTGATGTACTTCTGACTCTAACAGCATAGCAACTCTGAGTTGTATTTGGTGTGTCTCTCCTCCCCTCCCCAAGGACAGATGCAATCCAATAACATATGTGAAGCAGTAGAAAACACAGGAGAATGAGGTGGCCCAGGCTCTTTGGCCCAGCTATAACTCAATGGCTGGAACTTTAGGATTTCCCAAGGAGACCATAGCATAGGGAATAGTCCATTTGATTATATTCAATGGACACACACTGAGTATATACTATCTGCAGAGCACTGTGCCAGGCACCTGGGGGGGGTGATTAACAATTAATAAGATGTGGTCCCCTGCTCTCAAAGAGTTCAGTATGAGATATAAGGTATGCATATAAATAATTAGAGGCATGGTGGGCTACTGGAAAGAATAATGGACTTGGAATGAAAAGTCATTTTCAGTCCCTAGGTGTGTGATCTTGGGCAAGTCACTTAACCTTGCTAAGCCTCAGTTTCCTAATCTGTAAATTGAGAATAGTGATATCCGCAGCATTGACCTCCTGGGGATCTTGTAAAGAGAGGTTCTGATAAACTATGAAGTGTCTTGTAAATACCGTTTATTATAAGACATAATGAGCTGTAAGCATACAATCTAGCTGAGGGATCTCAGAGGTCATCCAGTCCAAGACCTTCACCTTACAGATGAGGAAACTGAGGCTTAAAAAGGTGAATTGACAGCACTAATATGTGACGGGGGTGAGATTTTACCCAAATCCTCTCACTGATAATAATAAAAATAATAACTATCATTTATATAGCATTTTAACATTTGCAAAGCACTTTATAAATATTTTCTCGTTTGATCCTCACAACGACACTGGGACATAGGTATTATTATTGTCCCTCATTTACAGATAGGAAAACTAAGGCAAATAGAGTGAGTTGCCCACAGAGCTATTCTAGGAAGTGTCTGAGACTGTATTTGAACTAGGGTCTCCCTGGTTCAGGTCCAGCACTTTATCTACTAAGCCACCTAGCTGCTTCCATTCTCTTTCTGCTACACAGTAATGTCCCTCGGCATAAATCATGCACCGTGGAATTTCAGAGGAAGGAAAGACCCTTTCCACTGAAGAACATGAGGGAAGGCTTCATAGAGGATATGGCATTGGTTAAGACCTAAAGGACAGGTAGGATTTCAACAGAGAGAATGGTAGGAGCCTGAGAAAGGATATTTTAAGCATTGGGAATAGCATGAACAAAGACATGGAGGTAGGGTAATATGGGGCACGTTTGAGGGAGATCAGTAATCCATTTTAACTAGAACACTGATCTAGGATCAGTATTCTTGTTTTCCTAGAATGACTAGAACTCACACAAGTAGTGTGGTTCAGACACCTTGACCAAACCAACAGTCAAGGTTCAAGCAAACACTGATTAGTCATGCATACAAACTGATACTAATGATCAGGAGGACCCGCTGTGATCTCTGTCACAGTGTCACTGGACTTGGTGTCCAAAGGCATGGGACTCAGGAGGGCCCTCTCAGGTGGCACTGTTCTCCTGTACTCCAGTCATCTTCCCGAGGAGAAGGTCATGGCACTGGACAGTCCATACAATGATCAAGCTGCAGTGTATCAGTGGCCCCTCTTCTCATATAATTTCTAACTAGATTATATCATAGTTTCATTACACAGTACCCAATTTAGGACAATCAGAATGGCTTCCAAACATGAATTTTATTCAGTCCCAAAGCTTATATCCTAATACCTTACTTGCATAGTGGTCATTTTTTAAGACTTTATTTGCATATGTATATCACACTCTGATTAAAACTTTTGACTATAAACCCATGCTCACTCGAATGCTCTTGATATTTTGTTCCTAAGTCAAACTTTGACTGACAGAATGGGGGGTGGTGGTGGTAAGGGATCTAGAAAGGTAGGATAGTGCCATAGTATAAGATAGTGGATGCCAGGCCAAGGAGTGTGTGCCTTCATTGGTTGCTGATGACAAGCTGTTGATCAGTGAAATAATATGATCAACCCTCAGAATTAAGAAGATAAATTTGATAATATTATGCTAGTTGTACTTGGGAAAAAATGACTGGAGGCACTTTGTTTTTTCTACTGTAGGTCTTTGTTTTTTCTACTGTAAAATGAGAGGGTTGGTCTAGGTGACGTCTGAGGTCCTTTCTAGCTCTAACAACCTATGATCTTTTGTTAGGTACCATCAGATCTAAATCCTATAATCACAGTCCAGAGGTTTGAATTAGGGTGGCATTAATCAGAAAAGAAGGGGGTAAGCACAAATACAAAAAAGATTGTAAAGCTAGAATTGATTGGATGGGATAAAAGATTGTGGGAAAAGGTAAACCAAAAGAAAGAAGTCAAAAGAAATGACTAGGTTTCAAATCAGAGTGACTCAGCAAAAGGTGGCAAAGTCAGTAGGCTGGCCTCAGCTGGGGAGAGGATACAAGTTTTTTTTTCTTTTTTTTTCTTTTTTTGTTAAATATACTGAGTTTGAGGAAAACTGGGAGGAGGTAGTGTAAGTGGGTCAATGTTAGAATGGAAGGAGGAATGGATGAATAAGTGAATGAATGAATGAAAAATATGAATTAAGCACATTTATTAAATCTTAAGGATATAAAAATATGGCAATCCATGCCCTCAAGGTGCTTATCTATGCTCTTAAGAACTTTGCAGTCTAATAGAAAGAGATAACTCATGAGGAGGTGTGCTAAGGAAGGGTATTTTGTTCTGAGAATACACAGGAATTGTAAGTAGACTAATAGGACAATCCATTGAAATAGACTTTCTAAAGGCAATAGTATAATACTCGGGGCATGAGATATAAAGGGGGAAGCCTTGCCTAGTAGACTAAAATGGTTGGGATAAAGATGAGGATCCACGGTCCCAGGCAGTTCAGACCCCAGGGTCTTAGCCCCTCCAAGGCACAGTCTCTTTAAGTTCCATTTGAAAGATAGAGTGCAGGACAGCAACAGCAGGAGTAGCAGCAATTTCAGGTTAGAGATGAAGCACTAATATGTTATAGGGATACAAACCACCTCAGTCAGCCTTATACTCTGGCACTCTTGCATTAATCACTACTGTGGTTTTCATCAATAGAGATACTACTTACTGATTTAGAAATCATCTGCAGAGAGGTGTTCACTAAAACCATGGGTGTTAATTAGAACCATAGGTCACCAAGGCAGGCACCAGGTTGCCACCATTCAGCCCAAATGAATTACCTGTAACAAAACAATTAGAGCACACCTAGCCAGTTGACTCTTAAAATGAGAGAATCCATTTTCTTTCTCTTCTGCTCAGTGTCACCCAATTAGATTGCAAATTCCTCCAGAGCAAGAACCATATCTTAAAGCTCTTTTTATCCCAAGTTCCTCTAATAGTGCCTTCCTCACATTAGGTACCCATCAGATGTTTGTGGATGGTAATGATGATCACCATGAACCATTTAGCAAATGCTAGGGTACTCTGCACTCAAGCAGGAACTGAAATAAATTATATGACCCCAGAAAATGGAAACTCATAAATGAGGCTAATTAATTACTTTAGATAATTCAGCTAATCTGTTGAGTCCTCAATTTCACTATCTTCAAATAGAGTTGACAACCACCTGACCCGTGACAACCTCATTTTGTCAGGAATAATTTGGTTCTCTTACATTACCTTGTTTGGTCTCTGCTTACAAATGAAATATAGAATCATAGAATTGTAGATTTCTTTTTTAAAATACAATATTTTATTTTCCCATATTATGTATTTTTTTAGTCAACAACAATGTATTTATTAAGCACCAACTATCTCCTAGAGACTGTACTAAGTCCCAAGAATTGTTATTATTCAATTATTTCAGTCATGTCCAACTCTTTGTGATCTCATCTGGGTTTTCTTGACAAAGATGCTGCAGTAGTTTGCCATTTCCTTCTCCAGTTCATTTCACAGGAGAGGAAACAGGGTTAAGTGACTTGCCCAGGGTCACATAGTTAGTAAGTGTCTGAGGTCTTATTTGAACTCAGGAAGAAAAGTCTTCCTAACTCCAC